AGATACCTTATTTACAATCATACCATGTGTATTCTGATACATTTGTCCTCAACAGATTAGCATGTAAATGGCCATGCTTGCTGGGAATCAAATTTAGGGAATTAAGAGAATAAAAAGTAAACCGAGTTTAGAGATTCAAGTCACACTTCACGGTAATTAGTAGATGTAATAAAAGAGAGGAACCTGGACGCAAAGGGTAATCCCTCGCTGACAGCCATGACTTCTCTAAAAAAAAAAACATTGAATGGAATTTTTATGCATGGGATCGTCTGGCACCCATTAGAATTTCAGCAGTGTTGTATTTTTACATTAAGTGGAACCTAAGTCGCTGTCAGTAATTCCCATGCTAGTTTTTATCTGACTTTACTGTGAAAGAGATAGCAGTAGTTAGTTAGAAGGAAAAAAAAACTACGGATAGAAAAACCTGCACTGACTGATGACAACGTTGAATGCTTTGACAGCTTTAGTTCATTCTATGATCTTCTGATAAGGTGTAAAGATCAAACATTTTCTCTTTTATTCTGTCATTCTAAGTTCCGAGGCATTGATGATATAATACACTAAACATTGCGTAGTCATCTAGACTTGAGTTCTTTTGTGAGATTTGCATTCATTTTCACTGCTACATCTACAGGCATTGCTAACAGCATCGATATGAAAAGAATATTTTTAAAAATCATATTATAGTAATCTTGCTAGTCAAGTGTGGATTTTAATGCGCTTAAACTCGTTGAAAATTCAGTGGGTTCTGAGCCATTCAGTATGCGTCCTTGCTCAAACTATCTAATGTATATGATAATACATGTATGTTTTGTCATCCCTCTGAACAGCTGGTGCCTTCTATTGAATCAGTATGTCAATCTAAAAATACCAGCACTACTGGAGTAATGCATTGAATCAAAATAGTTTATATTCAATATTTTGGTGGGGGGGGGGGGTTCTGTTTCTTGTCACGTGGTACAAATACAAAACACTATTTAAATTCAGATATTAATGAGTATTACTATACCTATCCGATTTATTATTTGATTACAAATTATAATTGTGATCAACGCCGAGAGCTACTCGTATTATTTTACGAGAGATTGTTCGCAGGTACTTTACTTTTATTAATTTCAGAGGGAGTTGCTTAAGGCCACATTGTCCATGTACCTAATGTGTTTCTAATATAGTGTCTACAATACTTGATAATGCTTTATTTCATCTTATACGCATGTAACTCATAATTCATATACACTAACCGATAGCTGGTTTTATTCATCTCGTATTTTAAAATTAATCCAGCTAAGAATTTGACATATGCATTAGTGTTTATTATACTATATCTGTCATAAATAAATTTGTTCTAAACTTGCTTCAGTCGAGGCGATTATTTTTTCTTTGCTGTAAATTAGTAGTGATGATTTTACTGCAAAATGTGGGTGTACACGTGTAATCTCATAACACCAATAAAATTTTTTTTTTTTAAGATCATGGCTTTCTCTAAAATAACATGATTGATGACATTCAAAAAGGCAATAATGATGATTTTTGTTGAATATTGGTCACAATTTGGAGAATAATAAAAAAATGTGTGCAGACTTTTGAATTACTAGTTATTTTTCTTTTAATTTCTCATCTCCATCAAATGAAGACTCAAAAAAAAAAAAACATTTTTAGATTGCATTGAATAATAATGCAGTTTGCACATATTCGCAGGGAATTATCAAAGCAAAATTTTCAACTGGTACTGAAATCTGAATAAAAAATAACACAAGTGACAGACCACAGAAATGGCAAAAAAATGTCACCTGGAAAATAGTAGTGAATATTGTGGAACAATACAGTGTTGCAAATTTGAGTAAAAAAAAAAATTACTTTTGGTAAATTTGATTCATGAAATTAAGTTGTCTACAGTTGGGTAGTCAGATCCAACTTTAATAACATGTGTGCAGCTGTGTCATCGACTACGGTACTGCCTAATATTTACTCTTAGTCAGAAATAACCATACCCTGACAAATTTTGATGAAAATATTAACAAAAATGAAGCTAATAAAATTATTCATCAATGCACGAAAAAAAAGATGTATTTTTATGAAAAAAAAATTGTGATGCATGGAAATTTTTTCACAATGTTTACCAGGGATTATTTTTTAAGAATTAATTGTTATCAGACTTTTTTGACAAAGTAAAGTAATAATTAGTATTTTATTACCTTGACGACCACCAAGGGACAAAAGTACAATGTATTATTCATAGAAGACATATTTTAGCATTAGTTTAGTATAAGGCCTGAGAGACAACTTCCTTTCTCACTGGAATATTTAACCCGCTATTGTGCAATAAAGATGAAACATCGAGGACTATCATCTGTTATTTTTGGCGACTGTCAAGTAAGACGAAAACTGTAGATTGATGTTGTTTTAAATATTTGATGTTATATCTTGAAGCATGTTTGTCATTTCTGGCTGTTCAGTTTAATTTTCTATGCATGGAGTAATTTTTCAGGTCCTGAATGATGATGTTGTCACGGTTTCAAATACTCTGCATGTATTTCATCTTATCTGTTATCCCTCTCTTCATTATCTTTTAGTTCATCTTCCCGTGCATCCTTTCATAGCCTGCTATCTCAAACTGCTTACCTTCCACGTCAAATGGCTGCATTTACGTTGATTTCTCAAATCATTGATTATGTACTTAGACGAGGAAACTCAGTCATGTAATGCCAAAAGTACATAATTTGTCTTTTCTTTTTTATTGCTGCACTCGAATCAATCACATATTGGCAGCACTGATTTATTGCATTCTCCCTCCCACCACTCGCAATCCCTCGGCTTTACCCATAAGTCACTTTGGTGTTTTCCCTCGGATTGTTTTCCGACTGTTCTGTTTCTGATAGCTACGGATTGCACCTTAACAGATGTGACACCTAATGAAGACACAGACCAGTGCTGTTACCACGACAATAGAGCCAGTTTCTTTAGCAACGCTTCAGAAGGGGACGTGGAAAGCGACGGGGATGGTATCAGTTCTGAACAGCTTCTAAAAGTTGTAGACAATTATTTAAAGGTAAGTTTTTGTTTTTTTTAAATGTTCTGTTCAATTGTTTGTTGGTTGTTTTGTGGTAAGAAGACAATTCCATTAGTTGAAAAAAATCAGAAAATGTATTCTGCTTGTATTATTTACAGTTCTATTAGGTAATTGCCAACCAAAATCCTGATGAATCTAAAGTATTTTCTTTTTATTTGTAAATTGTTTATTATCACATGTTGTTTTTTGGTGTAACTCCCCCATATTATGGTGACTGAATACGAGCAATGATCATGTTCACCAGCCTTCAAGTTTGCATCATTTTTTTGCCCAAAGGTGTGATTTTTGAGTGTAATTTATAATAGAAAACAACAGACCATTCAGTATTATATTTTAGTATCCACAAAATAATAGAAAACCGTATTTATAGAAAACAAATAATGGTTTTTCTTACATACCATGTAATTGCTTTTTACCGTGTCACGTTATTCCCATTAGAACTTAAACCTTTGAATATAATTCTTTTATTAGAAAAGTGTAATTTTTATTACCATTTGACGACTGAGCATAATGCAGATGAGGATTTCTAATCCCATTAAGTTCAGGAAGTATCTGAATGTGACCTCAAACTCCTATTGTTGCTATGTAAATACCCATAGCAACCAATCTGGAAAGCATTACAGTGGAGGAAGTATGCGACAGTGAACACTTTCTACATCTTTCAGATGCGATGCAAAGTAGTTTAGCTGTTCATAGACACAAATAAGTAAAAATGACCGGATTTTCATAAAATTACAGTTAAAATCCAGAATTTGCGACTGTAGAAGTAAATGTTAATGTAGCAGTAATTGGCGACAATAAATTAAAGAATTAAATCTTTAGTGTTCTGTAAGCTGCTTAGAGCTGAATGAGAATTAGTCGGAAAGCAATTACTGATTTCAAGTCTTTTCTTGTTAATGCAAAAGTTCATGAGTTTGCTGTAACAGTATATTCATGTTTTTTAATGATGAAGATTCAATATTATTTGAATTTAATTATTGAATATATCACAATTGCAGTAATTTATAATTCAGATATATATACCATTTTATTTAATAAACGTTTATTAAAACAGCCATGCCACCAGCACCCTACACTACTCTACCAAATGTAATTATTAAATGTGGTGTATTATATTTTTTACTTTATATTTGAAACCACAAATTTATTTTCACTACAAAGTTGTTAACATCGAGTGTGATGGCAATGACGTAATTTCCCAAAGTCAAAAAGCAATAGAAATTTGAGATTTTCCATATCTCGCATATCGTATTAGTTCTATTAGAAGTGCATCTCCAATAAATGTACATCTTTCTTTGGTGGTGTATTAATTATTTTGACAATGGAATACTAATAGAGCAATTACGGTATTACCGTGGAAAGTTAAATAAAAATATATATATATAATATAATATATGGGACCCACAGTAATATAATGCGTGTACCAAATATTTTATGTTGACACCAAATTTGGAAAGAAATGAATATCACCAAAAAAAATAAATGAGTAAAATATGGTATTGTTTTTTTTTCATCAAAAATAACTATGCTATAAGAATGAATGTATGGTATATAAATGTGGCACTCTTTACATTGATATGTAAAGTTGAAGTGACAACAGAAGCGCATTCACAATGATTTCATAAACCCCTATTATTTGTTCACATTTGTGCTGCCCTCTAGTGACGAACTATATGAGGGTATACAAGAGTGTGAGAACAATTCCCCTGTCTATGGTGTATGACCTCACTAGACGCTTTATTTGCATACTGTGAAATACTTTATTTTTTGCTTGGAAATAATTTTTGTTATTTTCGCTGAAGAAATGATTCAGTGAAAATAAAATCCAGCGAATATCCCTTTTTTTTATTCCTATATTTCACATTCAACTCGTCAGAAATCAGTGAAAATAAATTCCATACAAAACACCTAAAAATGCTTTTCAGCGAAAAAAGTATTTTACAGTATTTAATTTTCAGTTTTCAAAAACCTCTGTATGGCTTCTAGTTATCAACCTTGTTTGGTTTTGCAAATAAGTTGCATTTCCCGTATTTTTTTTTTCTTCAATTTTTAAATTTTTGTTAATTTTAGTTACTTAATATTAAAATTGAAGTAATTATGATGAAGAAATAATAAACAATAATTCCTACTTGAGATATTAAAACTAAATTTGAGGTTGGAAGAGAAACGGATTTATAGTAGAAACACTTTATTTGTTTTTTTGACAACCTCTGTATGTGTTCTCGATAGCAAGCTTATCACTCTGCATTATATTCTAGAATGATTTGAAAAGTCATCTTTACTTACCGGTATTAGGTTTTATACTCTGCGGGAGTAAAGATCTCTGCTTCTGGCCATATTTAAAGTAGAACTAATCTACATGTACTAACCGCAATGCAAAGTGTTTTTCATGTGGCCTTGTTCCAGAACAATTTCCATTAAGATTCTTTCTTATTTTTTTTTAATTTTAATTTTTAATTCTGTTAATTGTTTTAAACAGCAGTTTAATCTGAAATTGAGTCTAAGCTCACAATGAACACAGCCTTTGGATTCTTCTACTTGTAGTTCAAATAGCAGAAGTCATTTTTAGATTGCAGCTATTTACGTACAATTTGCTTCTGAGTGTATGTTGCATTATTTACTGCAACTAAACCAACCTTGTTCTATCAATTGCTCCCAAATGGACAGATGTCGCTATATTAATGTCATGTAGTTGCAAATAAACTGGATAATATCCAAGATTTAGACCTGAGGTAATTTACATCAGAGTGATGTCCAAGTAGCCCTACTCGGCAGTCCACTGATGATAATGCTGATCTGCTTCTTGTGCACAACCATCGTGGCTTTCTCGTTTAGTTTGTGTAGGAATGGGTTCTTTCGTTCTCCTCCACACGTACGCAGACACACACGAAAACTTAATACATTTCAAAAGCTTGTTGTTGAATTGAAAAGTAGCATGTATGCTTTCACAGTATAGATAAACATACACGTACACTGTGTTATATTGTAATTGTAGATGAATTTCAAACATTCTTTTCCTGCTTTACACTTCAGTTGTCTTCCCGGCCAATCCAACTCCACGTTTTAAGCATCACTAGTACATATTAAGTATCACTTTCATTGCATTTTTGTTCAAAAACGTAAATACAAGTCTTATTCATAATCATGGTATTAAAAACAAAAAAGTACAATTGATTTAATATCCTCCCTCGAGAAACCCACCAATTATAAACTAATATACAAAATGTACAATTGCATGGGCCCGATATTGAACACCTGAAAAGCAAGCATGCACTGTATCGTATTTGTTTTATTATAAGTGCATTTTAAAGAAGCACTTGTAAATGAACACTTGTTTATTGTATGCTGGATCTTTCAAATGAGACTTATTTTGGCCATTGACACACACCTGTCATTTATGTACCCAGAGTTTGCTGGGATTTTCTGTTTTATATTTTTAAAACCATAATTTTCAGGGCATTCTATAATTCAATAGTGTTCACAGGATCTATTTTTCAAGAATATCCAAGTTATCCTGCCCCGTCTCCAGAATCCTATGAAATATTCACTGCTGAAGATTGTTATAATTACTTTTCCTACTTTCATTGCTTGTGTGTTTTAGTGTCAGTTCTAATTACAAGGATTCAGACAATGGACTGCTTTTAATTTGTTTATTTGGAAATCAATATTTTAATATGCAGATGATGAAAGCATTTTAACAGAATTCAATTTAACATTCTGTCGTAGTGTGTATAGTTTTTCGTATGCACTCATGGATAATTGGAATTCCATTCCTGGATTTCCCAATTTTTTGTCGGTCTAGGAATAAAGCATATTAAAATCAATCCAGACAGTTTGGTTTTCCCTGCGTAAATTGATTGCTGCAGCTCTATTGAAAGAAAATTCTGACATCACAGGAGAGAATTTAATGGATGTATTGTACGCTAGTAGAACGGTGAAATCCAACCCGGTCTAGATGAGAGGATATTATCCCCAACAGTCGTCGCCATGGAGATATTTATTGTGTGGTCATGTCAGTGATTTGAATTGGCTAGCATACAGAATGACAGTCTAGTTGGTCCTAATCCACAAATTGATGAGCGTTGTTTAGGGACAGTCTTTTTGGGAGGAAATAATCAATCCAGTGATTATAATATCAACAGTTTATGTCGCGGGTGAAAAATTGACGAGTTAATTTGTTTATTTTTGTCTTATTTGCGAGTATATTCCAAGTAAGTGATGTACCTGATCAGCTTATTATTCTTGACAAGAATAAAAAAAAAAAACTGCTGGAAAGAAAATGGAGTGCTTTTGGCGTAGAGCTAGATTTAGTTTGTCATAAATAAAATCTTTATGTAAATTCTTTTGATATTCATACAGGATGGATCTTTTTTGTTTCACATAGAATGATAACTCTATAGGCTTTATTTTGACGGCCTTTTAATATGCGAGTTAGCAGGTGCTACATAAGTAAAATACAGTTTTGAATATTTTTGAAAAATTATTTAATGAAATAGGAAGCACACCTAGCTTAATAAACATTATTAAAAAAACTTGGGAAACAGATATAATTTATTATTAAAATAAAGCATACCATACCTAGAACAGCTATCTTCTGAGAAAGCATACTTAGGTTGTCAAAAAGATATAAGGCACCCGGGAAAGCATGCCTAGCTTCTCAGTAAAATGTAGCATACTTGAGCAGCTAATCTGGCTTGTTGAAAAAACATCTGAGAAAGCATACCTAGTCTGTCTCAAAAAGATATAAGGCACCTGGGAAAGCACGCCTAGCTTCTCATTAAAATGTAGCATACTTGGAACAGCTAATTTAGCTTGTTGAAAAGACATCTGAGAAAGCATACCTTGGTTGTCAAAAAAAATAAAGCCTGCCTAGCTTCTCAGTAAAATATAACATGCCTGGCTTGTCAAAAGGCTAACACATATTGGAAAAGCACACCTATCCTGCTAATAACCTCGCTTATCGGTAAAATATATTCATCTGAGAAAAGCTCACTTAGCTTATCGGTAAAATATATTCGTCTGAGAAAAGCTCACTTAGCTTATTGGTAAAATATACTTATCTGAGAAAATCTCACTTAGCCCAACAGTAAAATATAACACACCTGGGAGAGTGAACATCTGGCCTATGAAAAATATTAATCTCCCATTTCGTTGATTTTTGTGTGTGTACGTGTTGGATGTCAGAAAGTAATTAGTAGTAATGGAGTTGCAATCACTGATAACTGATGTTAGAGCATGAGAATGTAGTGTTATTTGAGTGGTATTAGAAAGACTAACTATTATATATACTCTATTTTGATCAAGTTCATCTATTTGACCCATATTCAGCATTGTAATCTGCATGGTTTTAATTCAGACTTGTATCCAAGTACAAGTTTTCTTTATCAACATAAAATTCAAATTTAATAAACAAAAAGTATTCTAAATTATTGGCATATACTGATAAAATGCATGCACATTTGTTGTCATAATTATAATCATTGAATTTAAAAAGAAAAAAGAAATAATACTGACAAATTTTGGGTGTGTTCCGCTGGTGTTAACATCAGAACAATTGCCACGGAAACAACCGAGGCTTGTTACATCCTCTATAAACACAATCATTAAAAATAGCTTTTATTTCACTAGTGTGGTTACAAACTTTGTAGTGCAAAGTGCACCCATTTCTAGGCAATATTTTATAAAATTTCCTTAGCTTATAGGAATAATGTTAGGGAAATCTGTATCTCTTGAAGGGTATCCAGGTAATCTCGCTGGACATCGAGGCAATTGTCTTCGCTGCCTCTTTGAAGTTCAATCCCTGGTGTTAATCAACTCTCTGTAGTCAACCAAGCCGTTATTACCACAATTGCATGCTACGGTGATACTTTGCACAATGCATTGTTCTCATTGTATTTCGTACCATTACATTACCACAACTATTATTACCGTCTGTGCAGTCACATTGTTGTGACTTCATTAAATGTTCTTCAGTGCTTAGCAACTGGATAAAATTGATTGATTTCATTGGCTTTTTAAAATGAGACCATTCACATATTTTTCTGTTATCGTTTGTTAATACAGAAGATATGTCTGCTAATTCATATTGACAATGTAATTAACAAATTTCCCATGACGGCATTCTCTCTATTCACAGTATTGTTTCACTTCAGTGGTTACTATTATTTTCCTTTACACAGAAGACTTGATTATCATACTTGTCATTCAGAATCAGCCTGATCTCACCTCCCGTAACCTTTGACCCCTCACGGGACTTTTTTTTATTACAATTTCAAATAATCTCGAAGTTGGGTGATCACTTCCCTAATCGGTGTTGTAGCGGACTAACATGTGTGCATTCCACAGTCTTTATTTGCATATGTAATTTGTGCCAATCAAAAGCTGGAATTGCATATGTAATTTTGAGTGTATTATGCATGCGCTGACTGGTGATTGAAGTTAACAGATCTTGAAGCGGGGATTCTGGCTTTAACAGTTTTTACGTGTTGCCGCAATGTTGCTGCCCAGCTCTCAAAATGGATTCCACTTTTCCCTTCCAGAATAAACCATGGGATACGCACTCTAATGATTCGGCACACAGCATTGGCAGTAGTCGGAGCAGCCTCACATTAACAGAAACCGAGCAAGAAGGACGGGATTCTAGTGACCAACATGAGACAGGTAATAATATCGTCATGACCACTTCATCCCATCACCGTTGCGATATAGACATCAACTTATCAACCATTACAAAGCTAATACCATTCCACATTTTTTAAAAACTCTTTAAAATCTTGTTTTTTTAATTCTTTTTCTATATCAGATAACAAATCTTCTTCAGTTTTTACATGTGCATTCTGTCTTTTTTCAATTAACCGTTCATCAATAACCACATCCACTTAGCTAATAAAATCTGTGTTTGATATTAGTATTGTAATGGTTTCCCAGCACCTCCCACAATGAGGCTGACTTGTCATGGGGATCATATTCATTTTACATTGTTTATTCATTTCGGAAAAATTTAAATTTATTAAATTTAATATTTTGACACAATTGTCATATATTTTTTTTTTTTTAAAGAAAAGCATGAGTAATTCATTGCATGCTTTTTAATTGTTTGTTTTGTTTTGTTTTTGTTTCTGTCTCGTGAGGACAAAAAAAATCGTGTGAAATGAATTATTTGCGTTTCCATGACAGGTCCCTACAGTTTAAATGGAAGTGAGATGAGACTACTGCCCAGTGCAGGCAGATCTCGTATGTCTCAAATTGAAGATGATTTCCAGCCCAACTTTTTAGTACAAACAACATCAGGCAATTTTTATGTTCCAGGCTCAAACACAGGTAAGCGGGGAATTGCACAATTTACATGTATGGAATGTGAACTATTTACAGTACTGTGTTTAATACTGAAAAGAAAACTGCTTTGTAACAAAATGTCCCGCACTCATATTTTTTATACACAATTTATTTAACACTCTTTTGGTTTGTGTTTTCTTGTTTGTATAAAGACTTTTTTTCCTGTTTCTGTAACATTTATGACAATTTACATGCCAACTGACAAAATTTGACATCACATACATTTCATTTTTTCATTGTATAAAATGTGACAAAATATCGTACTAGTGGGAAAAAATTCTGTAGTAAATTTGGAATATTTATTTTAAGCCAGAATATACTTTTCCTTGAATGAAAACATTGTTGGTGATGTTGCGTGTATTTCAGTTGATTCTGATAGATTATACAAAAACCAATATTTTCAATGAATTCTATTATTGCTGATTAATCTCTCAAATAAAATGGAATTCCAAGTAAAATACAATATTACTGCATTTCTGATACAAAATGTGGAAATTTTTCTTGGCTCATGAAAATTTTGCTATGAAAATTAAATGTTATAAATGGTAATGTTATAACATTATAATTAATTAAATGGTAATGTTATAAATGTTGACAATAGTAGGATTGTAAGAGTATCTAATAACCTGTTTTTCTGTTATTATTACATATTATGAGGCAGTAGAAGTAGTTTTGTTGAATAATTCAAATCAACATGATATCGACAAAAATCTACGCTATTGAAATGTATTGTTAGCGGCGGCGGGCGGGGGGGGGGATTATTTTATTTTGTGTTTTGCAACAAAGTAATAGGAATACTTTGTTGTTATCACAGTAGGCTAGAGAAAAAAAAAAGTATTATTTGACCTTAAAAGATGTCAGTTTCATACTCGAATCAATTTACTACGAGGAATGGGAAATTCAATTTTGTGTTTAACTATATAACTGAATTGTAAATTCTTGTACTCCCTCTAGATTTAACTGTTTGTTTTGTCATTTCTATGCATGCTGCTCAGTTGATGGATCTTTCTGTAAATGGATCCTAGATCGTCTCATGGATATTACACCGGCTAGCCCCCTTTTTGTTTCAGTTTGATTGATGACTTTTTCTGTAACTTTTTTTTATATAAAAGGGGGGAAATTACGCTTGAAGGATTTTTAAATAATGAAAGCGTCTGTTTGTAAAATATGAAACTGGGATAAGTATTTGTGTAAACTTAAAGATATAGAATTGTCAAGTGGTTTAGGCGCTTTGTGTGTATTTCCCCAGTTCAGAGTGGTATCGGTCTCCAAGTTGATATATTATTATGATTTTACGTTTTTTTGTAATATGTAGTAAACATAGTTTTTATTTGTCTATTTTTGAGTTTTTATTGTAAAATTTGTTTTCCGGGTAGCAGGCGATTGAAACAACGTAGAACCATCTTCCATTTCCCCCAAGTTAAATAATGGGGTATTGGGTTACATTGCCCACCTTGGTATTCCCGAGGGTATGCAGTTCCATTATCCCAATATTTTTACATTTGATTAAAAATGGAATTACCTCATACATATTTTACATTGTTAGATTTTGTTGATAGAGTTATTAATCTCTCTTGTGTCCTCCGTATTACATTTCATTGTGTCACTTTGCAGAAGATTCAAAGATTTTACAAATACATGCTTTAGTACTTAAATGTCTGTTTAAAAATAAATGTCTAAATAAATAAATAATAAAATGTCTTAACTACTCATTGTAAATATCGCAAAAATTCAAAAGGAAAACAAATTTCATAAAGTTGGAAATTATCAGAATAATTGTGAAACTCTTCCCTGATATGCTCAAATCTAATTTTGTTTTCATTTTCATAACGAATTGAAAAATTATGTATCGAAAGTGGGAATTATGACCGAACAAAATGAATGTCAAAAGAATGATTAATTGCATATTCCTGTTTAAGATTGGCAATAAACAAAAATAAATAATTATACAAAATGTCCGCTGCATTATTATGACAAGCACTTTGGTTGGCAGCATGTATGTCTGTGTTTTTCTGAATTCCTATGGAGCCACGAATTCATTGCCAGTTTAGTGTTACTTAATTAAATCAATTGTGCCTCAAATCCAATTCACTGGTCCATATAAATCATTTCCCAAACTCTAAACATAGTTTAATACTGTATCACCTGGGGGTAGGGTATGATGGGGTGGGTGGGATGTGTTTGGGTTGAAATTTAATTTTAGGACCAGCTGTGTTAAAAATAGAAATTCTTACATCATTTACAAATTCAAGCTAGTACAATGTTTTAAAAATTTAGTTTATAAATATTTGATCCACCAGGCACTTGCAAACAATATTGAATGCACACCAGGAAATTAATTTTCTTTGTCATCCGGACGGTTAATGCGATGTCATGTGCCAACAGTGTCCTAAAAGTGTGTTGCAAACACATTTGCCACCTCACGTAGCCTGTTGTATTTCTCATGTCCATGATTATTCTCTCTTTTTAATTTGAACTTTTACGCTTTGTCACCAGGTGTGAATATTTTCACGAATAACAGCACATTGCCCAGTACGAATAAGACCGCAAATCTGCCCAGACCGGCAAATTCTCTACCTGTAAGTCATTCAAGCCGTTCATCGGGGGCCACCAGTTCGCTGCCAAGATTTGATCCACCACCTCCTCCATTGCCAGAGAGAAATCTCCCAGTTCTCAGCACGTCCGTGCCATCACCTGTGTTACCACCTCCAGTTGTCGTTCCAGCTGCTCCTGTCTTGGCAACGTCGGCCACACCAAACACTTACACTATGGGGTTACCACAAACTGATCATCGGACCTATCAAAGTATACAATCTTTACAAGGGCAACCACGGAACACTATGCAGCAAGAAGAAAGGTAAGAAATGCACCCCTATAAATACCAAATAGAATGACCCATTCGCATAGGATGGGCCTTTTCATAATATTGAACAGGGCCGTTGCTGTGTATTGATGTCAGTGTTTTGAAAAGTCTGATGCAATTATACTAAGTTACTTGCTTTTAAGAGAAAATCAATTCTGAAATTAGTCTCCAATTGAAAATAGGAAAGTTCCTGGAGTGATTTGATTGTCTGTAGCTGCAAATTACCATCAGTTTTCACAGCAGGGCCTTGACAAAGACTCGTACCTCATTTTAAATAGAAATCATTAGAAGCTTTTTAAGAAAGTAATAACTGCGTACGAAGGGATATTGAAATCGCAGGTTAAATTGTCCAAAACAAAAATGCTCTAATTTTTGACGTATTTGACATGTTTTTAATTTCCTTGGTGATACATTTAATCTCGTCACCAACTAAAAATAATGACAGCGGAGAACGCGATAATCCCGGCTCTGAAACGCTTTCAAGTCGGATCATGCTTTCACTTATTGCACGTCACTTGTAAATTTATTTATACTCTGAGCCGGCGTAGTCCGTCAGTGTTCTTCTGTCGCTAAAAGTGATTAAAGCGTTTGAATCAACCCCCGAGGAGTAACGTATTAGATGATAATCCACGATGAATAGATTCTATGTGACACTCATGAACTGTCTGTTGTCCGCACTGTACAAACAACACTGGGTGTACAATGTTGTTATTGTGACCAGCTCTGCAGCTAACAATAATGATTGCTTTAACATGATTACAGTTGTTTTCTGCAAGACTAACTCCACACATTTTAAAAAGACATCATTTGCAGTCTGTCTCTAGAAAATTAAGTGCCTGTAGGTTTGTATTAATGTATGAACAAAGCTTTGAAGTTTTTGGAACCTCAAGATAATTTGTAGTTTTAGACAGGACATTCCAATAAAAACTAAACAGGTTAAGTGGATGAGTACGAAGCACCCAATGTATCAGATCCCTTTTTCAAGTTTGCAAAGAGCAGCACAGCACTCCAGTTGTATCATCAAGCTAAATGAGCAGGGACTTTACAGCATGTGACATAATACACCCAACGTGTGGTCAGGTTGTACAATTTTTATAGTACATACTTTATTTGGTGAGATGCTGGGAAGCTTATTGGACAGTTACAATGTGTGCACGATGTTTACTGAAATTCCTAATTTGGTTTTCGACTTTCCCATTAGTGGTTACTGTCAAATGCACAAATTACCATTCTCGATCTTTAGTATCTCTCCAATGTGTGAGCTTTTACATTATACCGGACCAAATACGTTGGCAATTTAGGCAT